CTTACTTACTTACTTACTTACTTTCGTGCGTACTTACGTACGTACTTACGTACTTACTTACTTACTTTCGTGCGTACTTACGTACGTACTTACGTACTTACTTACTTACTTACTTACTTACTTACTTACTTACTTACTTACTTACTTACTTTCGTGCATACTTACGTAGTACTTACGTACTTACTTACTTACGTACTTACTTACGTACTTACTTACTTACTTACTTACTTACTTTCGTGCGTACTTACGTACGTACTTACGTACTTACTTACTTACTTTCGTGCGTACTTACGTACGTACTTACGTACTTACTTACTTACTTACTTACTTACTTACTTACTTACTTACTTTCGTGCGTACTTACGTACGTACTTACGTACTTACTTACTTACTTTCGTGCGTACTTACGTACGTACTTACGTACTTACTTACTTACTTACTTACTTACTTACTTACTTACTTACTTTTAGGCAAACAAAGCTGAAATACTTGAAGGAATTGGAGCTGCTTGGATAAAAATTGAGCTCAAATGAGCTCTGTGTTATTTCCTTGTGATTGAAGACATTTGTGCAGCTTTTAGATGTCCCAGTGTGCCTATTTAATCATTTTTCAATTAGAGGAAATGATCTTTGTGCTCAGTTATTAGAATTTACTGGAATTCTGTAGAACTTTGAGAGCTTCTTTATAAACAGAGAATCTAAAGTTTCAGGGAATTTCTTCTTTTTCTTTCCGCTTTTCCATTTTCAGGGGTCTCACAGCTCCTCCACCTCCCTCTGTCCTCCGTGTCCTTCGTGTCCTCCATGTCCTCTGTCCTCACGCCAGCTTGTCCTCTCTGACCGTATCTCTTTGTCTTTTTCCTGGCAGCTGCCCCTCTGACATCCTACTACCAATATAGCCACTGTCCCTCCTCTGGACATGTCCAAACTGTCTTAGTTTGACCTCTCTAACTTAACCTGTGCTGTACCTCAAATGATCTCATTCCTAATCTTAGCCATTCTCGTCACTCATCTTCAGCTCTGCCACTTCCTGATCTGTCTTTTTGTCAACACCACTCTCTCCAAACTACGACAGAGTATTAAGGCAATGAGATTATAATTATTTTTTAAATCACGAGAATAAAGTCACAATATTAAGACATTAAAGTTGTAATATTACGAGAGAAAAAAACAATCTTACACAACATGTCTGTTTTCCGTTCCTGATTTTTTACTCATTTCCTCCTAATTGACCTCACACCTGTTCTGTTAATGAAGAATTCCGCGATGAGTCTGACTTTTGTGTCACTGTTAGTGTAATAAACATTTTCAGCCTAATTACGTGACGACTAAATCTGTCAGTGCAGCCATTAATTATAATACAGCTTCAGTTGATCATGTAGTCGTTTGCAAAATCTTTTCAAAGTCCTGCTACTGAAAATATTATTTCTTTGAACTGATACTAAAGAACAACTTCACAAGTTGCTCAACATTTTTCATTTTAATGCAGAGGTAGACTGCTTTTTCGTGCGAAGGATCTCATAATATTATTATTACTTTAATCTCATGATATTAAATTTTTTTATATAATTCTGTATTTCAACTTTTTTTCTCATAATAATATGACTTTTTCTTGTAATGTATTATGACTTTATTCTCAAAATTATGACTTTTTTCTCAACTTTATTCACATAATGTTAACACTTTAATGTCATAACATTATGACTTTTTTCTTGTAATACTGTATTACGACTTTATTTTCATAATATTATGACTTTAATCTTGTAATATTATGACTTCATTCTCATAATTAAAATAGTAATAATAATCTCGTTTTTGGCCCTAATATGCCATCATACCAAACCATAGCTGGTCTCATTACCTTTTAACTCTTWGCTTTGAGATTGCTGAAACATTTCTCCATCCCCTCCATCCTGCCTGGACTCTCTTTATATTATTTTATTTGCTGCAAAGAACCCCACTGCGTAGAAGGTGCTTTATAACTAAAGTTTGATTGAATAATTGACATTACAGTGTTAGCGTCTTTCTACTAATTGTAGCTGCTGGACGTATCCTTGTGCTGAATCTGCCTGAAGTTGGTTCATTTCTCTGACAAACAGTTCTTCCTCTGCATGATTTGGCCCACACAGACATTGTTTATCTGCGCACTGACTTTGCTTTCGTGATGGCTCAGTTTTGCTGTCCATAGTTGTTGTTTTGGGATTAGTCATGGCTGATCAGCGGCAGGGTACAGTTTGCAGGAATTATCTCTGTGCAGGCAATTACACAAACACTGGATGTTAGGTAAGACACAGATTACTCATGAATGCTCTACAACACCTCTTTAATAAACTCAAACAATCCCTGCAGGTCCTTATTTMTGCTGTCGCACTATTTGCTGAGTCATGTGTTTGTTTTTAATTCATCTGTAGATAAAACCTTTGGGCTGTGACGGCAGCACATCTCTCTCCTCTTGGTTGGACGGCCTCGGCCTGCATGAATACCTGCCCAACTTTCTTACAAACGGTTACCGAACYCTGGAGTGTGTGAAGAATCTGTGGGAGCTGGAGATCGTTAACGTAAGRACCTCTTGAATATTTAACCTGTGTACCGTGGACATCAATCAGCAGCTTCTYACACACTTGATCACCTCAGTCGGAAGAACATTTTTGTGTTTTGTCCTTTGAGTTTAGGGTTAAAACGTACAACTTAGACARAATAAATACTAGAGAAGTGCTCAGTAATGGAATAATTTGCATAAAACTGAAGCAGAAACATTTTCTAAGTCACTGAGTGACTTAGAAAATCACTGAGTGGATAACTAACATGATCTATGAGGGTGAAAAATAGTGAGAGATGACAAGAAATGTCTAATTTGGTTTTCTTTTGAGGAAACGATGATATTTTATGATGAGTGGTAATTCCTAAAATGACTTATTTATTTTGGGGTTGTGACTGTGCAAAACAGAAATGCGTGTCTGTAGTTTAGACTTTAGTTTTTTTTTTTACAAACCTCTCATGAATCATACTGTTCAGAACATGGAAGACAACTACAACCCCCGGCAAAATGTATGGAATCACCAGTCACTCATACAGACATTTCATTCTGTAAAACAAACTCAGATCAAAAACATGATACAATAATAAGGTGCAACTTGTTGGCTTTCAGGATTACTCAAAGAAATGAATGAAAACATTTTGGAAGTCAATGAATGCTACTTTTATTGAGGGAAACAATATGGAATCACTCAATTCTGAGGAAAAAATTATGGAATCACTCAAACTGGAGGTAGAAAATATGGAAACACCCAGTCAATTTCCTTTCTCTAAGCATTCTTTTTKTTTTTTTGTAGACTTGTTTTTGGCCTCTAAAAGTTATTCATGTCAAATAAAGTTCATCACAATCRTTTCTTCTGGGATGCCTAATCTCTTCATGTGATGATGGTTTGAATGGTTTAAACCAGGGCTATTCAACTAGCGGAGTGACCAAAATTTGGCCCGCCAATTGGTTCATTCATCTCTTAAACCCACCCCCGGTTTTCTACTTTCTTTTAGTTAAACATAGACATGTTTGGTATCTACAGAAACGTCAGAATCTTGGCTAGAAGCTGGTAAAAACATTTCTATAAACACTCAAGACAGTTAAAATTACAAGCAGTTGAAGATAAACGTATGAAAGTGAAAATAAATTTGGTTTTAAAAATTGGCAAGTCAGAGATGTCAAAATAATATTTGTGTCTAATAGGAGGCATAATGTGTTCTTTTTGTTTAATCATCACTACATTTATAGGATTCTGTATGTTGTATTCATGATTAAATGCAGCAAAATAAACTATTTCAAAGGTGACAGATCTTTGTAATAGTTTATTTACATAATAAATTTAATTGCTGGATGTTCGGCCCCTCAGCTTGTTGACTGGCAGTAATTGTGGCCCCCGGAGCAATTTAGTTGAACAGCCCAGGTTTAAATTGTGCTTGTAAGACTCCCAAATCAAAAAAAAAGGTACGAAACTTTTGCTTTTTGTGTTTGAGAACGTTTMCTATCAGCTAAAAAGCCGTAGCATCATGTTATAACAGCAGTATCTGACTGAGACGAGACTGGTCAGCCTCATGATGTTTTCTCAGAGACACAAAGTCCTGTTGCTTGAGTTTTAAACAGTGTTGTATAAAGTACCACAAAGTGAGTAAAAGTGCAAGTATCTTATCAAAAGTCTCCTCCAAGAATATTACATAAGTAAAAGTCTTAAAGTATCTGATTTTTTTCGTACTTAAGTATTAAAAGTAAAATTACTGAGTTACAATAGATATAGTTAGATTTTCCTAAATGACATGGCGTGCAGCTGGAATGGATTGTGTGCAAACCAATACAGTGTCAGAATGGTATATATTTATTAGGGGTGCAACGATACAGAAAATTCACGATTCGGCTCGGTTCGATACTTTAGTTTCACGGTTCTATATTTATAGTATAATATAGTATAGTAGATCCTAGGTGGAGTAGTTGAACACAGATCCACTGATCCTTCAACAGAGCATCCCCAGAAGACAAGTTGATAAAATAATTAAAAAAAATCTGTATTGTTCGATACAAGTGTGTATTGAACCTAAAGCACTGTATTGAACGGTTCAATACAGGTACATGCATTGTTGCACCCCTAATATTTATACTTTTCATTCAACCACAATTAAATTCACTCTATCCAGGAGGCACATTTTATTAGTATAGTATTTTTTAACAATAACGAGCCAGAATGAAATAGGAGTTACGACTTTCTACTTACCTTTTTAAAAAAATAAGGAGTAGAAAGTGCAGATAATTGTGAGAAAATGTAAGGATTAAAAGTAAAACGTAGGCTGAAAAATAAATACTCAAGTAAAGTACAGATAACCAACATTTCTACTTAAGTACAGTAACAAAGTGTTTGTATTTAGTTATTTTTAACTCTGTTTTTAAACAGGTTCTTATTGCTGTGTGACAAGAATTCTTTTGAAATAATCACAAGGTCATAGTGGGTGTCCAATATGTTTCAAGACCACCAGAGTTGTACTTTGAGTCCTGCACAGAATGGAAAAGAAAYGTGTTTAATATCATTTTATTTACTCGAAAGAGGACAGACATTATTACATTTGACTAAATTTATTGCTAATTGTGTCGTTTTCATGTTGTGCAAATTTGTCATACTTAACACCAAAATGTTTGTTGTGACATTAAATKTTAGGTCTTTGCAGAGGTGGTCATGCTCAGTTTGCAAATAAGATATACTGTACATGATGTAGTGCCACAAAAGAACTGCACAATCAAAGAGCTGAGAATGAGGYTTCAAATGAATATTCAGAAACACATTGCTCATGTTTGCAGGTCTGGCTGCACTAAATACTAAAACGGTAGCGATAAAACAGCCAAAACAGCTGCAGCAGCAGCCGATGCAGTGTCTGTGAGGGATGGTGTCCAGCAGACTGCGATGCAGAAAGATGGGGGTCTGAGTGCAAGGCACATTACTCTCGGCGTGCAGAGCAGCAGAACTGCCTCTGAGCGTCTTGGCAGAACTCACTTTGCCCATTACATTTCCTTCATCCTCTTCAGCATATTACAGCAAATGGCATTGAGCTTCACAGTGATCTATGGGCTTGGTTAYGTGCCCAAATAATCCCAAGGTTCTTTACACAAGCCTTGAATATGTTTGTCTCACTGGGTTTTGTGCACGATTAGTTAAAAAGAAAAAAAAAGAAATCCACAGAAAGCTAACATGCAGACCAGTTTCCTCCTCTGCCTCTAGTTCTCGCTGAATAAGTGATTGAACTCTGCAGACGAAGAATTATATGAGCCTGTTCTGGAAAATTTTGTACCAAGAACATAATTGCAGATGTAACATTAATCACTCAGCATCCACCCTGTGTGGATGAGCATGAATGTTAATAGYCAATTATGCAAATTTATAGTATTAGGATGATGGGTTTTGACGACATAGAATTAACCTATGCTTCCTCCTGTGAGGGCTTTAGACACATGAGCAGCTGTGGTCTGTTGTAAGTGCTTGAAAAGGCAGATTCTGCGAAAAGATCTTTTTGTGTTGGCCCCATGGATTTCTCGCCCTAAAACGATGGTTTTCAGTTAAAATAGAGAGCTCCACTTAAAGACATTTTCTTTTGCAAAAGTCCAGAATAGGTTTATTTCAATTCTCTTTAGTGACAGTCATGCTAGTTTTCTTTTTAACTCAACGTATTGTTTTTCAGGGCCGGCAGCTTCTCTCTGCAGAAAGAAGCAAAGAGAAGTCATGGTCAGACAGAGATATTACTGTAAATGCGGAGTTGTAAAGTAAAAACTTTGTGAATGTACTTAAGTATAAATTTTGGTTATCTGTACCTTGTCTGTCTGTCCGTTTGTAATTTACTTGAGTAATTATTTTTCAGCCTACTTTTTACTTCTACCCCTTACATTTTTAAAAAGGTAAGAAGTAGAAAGTCGTTACTCCTATTTCATTCTGGCTCAATATTATTAAAAAATACTATACAGATAAATTGTGTTTTCTGGACAAAGTGAATTTAATTGTAGTTGGTTGAGAAGTATAAGTATACCATTCTGTCACTGTGTTAATTTGAACATAATCCATCCCAGCTGCATGCCTTTAAAATAGGATTTTTTTTTTTGGAGGCCATCTTGCAATAAATATCATTTTGGAAAATCTAACAGCTCATTTTTAATGAGTACTTTTAATTTTAAGACTTAAGTACATTTTATGACAGGAATGTATTTTTGATACTTAAGTACAAAGTAAATCAGAGATTTTTACTCAAGTTACGAGTTCTTAGAGGAGGCTTTAACTTTTACCAGAGTAACTTTGAATGATACTTCTACTCACGTATCACTTTGAGGTACTTTGCGTAAATGCTGGAAAAGCTGCTCCRCCTAACATAAATTACTGAAAATACAGGAAAAAAATGTGAAAGTACCATACATGTACACGTTTAAAAAAAACTATGCCATTCTACTGAATCTTCACCACCGTCCTTGCTCCAGATTAGCCTGGTAAAAACCAGCTCCTTGTTGGTACAGAGGGTCTGGAACCTCGRCTATTGAGAAGTGATTTCTTGCTGGAGGCCTGGACTCTRTTGAAGTTTAAAATGATTGTATCTGGTTTTACCCAATCATCAACATTTGGCCGTGACGTATGCAGTGTGCCAGCTCAAACGTGATGGAGGCTAAGCTAATACGCTAACTGGAAATTGTGTGCGCTGTAAACAACCATCCCCTACTGGGAAGAGAGAAGTACCAAGTTGAACCAGATGTCTGTAAAATGAGAGCTGCAGGCTTTGTGAGACAAATTTMATTTAATTTGGAAGTCTTGTCAACACGGACTGGCTTCATTCACGTCCTCTGCTGACATTAAACTACAGGCAGACTAAAACAGCRCAGAAAATCATTGTCTTTGTTCACAACTCCTCCTTCTGTTCGCTGATTGGCCCGTTTAAAATTCTACCAGAGAAATCCTCATCTATGGGAGAAATCCCAGACAGAGCAGTGAAGGGAAACCAACTGAGTGGAGCTGTGTAGGAAGGCAAGGACCAGGCTAGGTCCAGATAAGACTTGATTTGGACCCTGATCCGGACTGCGGTCTGCAGTTTGAGGACCCCTCCATCCTATATGTCTGTGAGGTTCTGTCTATTTTTGAAGCTCAACATCTAAAACTAGCTTGTGAATTATGGAGTGTCCCAAGAAGGACACAGTGTTGTACTTTAGGCTTACAGCAAAACAGATTGGRGCTGAATTATTGATGAGAGTCACTTCTGTTTGGCTGCCAGTGAAGGGAACATGCCATCAGCTCTGTCAGTGGATTTTGGATGTATCTCTGTTAGCATTGTCTGGAAAAATTCTTCTGCATGACTTATTTACATGACAGTGGAATGCAACTTCTCATTCTGATGTCATCCTCTCCAGGTTATTAAAATTTGCGCTTTAGGTCACAGGAAGAGGATCATTGCCTCTTTAGCAGAGAGACCCTATGAGGAGGCTCCCTCCAAATCCCGTCGACTGTCCCCAATTTTGGTAAGGATGGATGATTTCTTATTGATAAAGATTTTTGTGTCTGTGTGTTGGTCTGTTACCAAAATTTCTCCTGAACCACTGGACAGATTTGAATAAAAACATTCAGAGTGATCATTTGATGTATATCTACAACTGATTAACTTTTAAAATTATCCTCTTTCAAGATGGCTGCCACAGCCAAGTGACCTTGAAAAACAGTGATGATTATAACTCAGTAGTTTTTATAGACCTAAAATTTGTTTTGATTGCAACAGAGTTTCACATCACAGCTTTTGAGCATTACATTTCATTAAATTGTTTATGAAGTTTTTTCCAAATTTTGGCCAAAATTAGTGAGTTTGTCATTTCCCRCTGTAACATGGCGGGTGATAAGCATTCCTTTACCGATGCCAGGCCTATAATTACTCACACATTAAAWCAAGGGCGTTGATTTGACCAGCACGGTTTAATATTTGCTCTGTACAACTTTATGAAACATGAAGCACTTAGCAGCACTGAGACTGCAGCAGTGTCAGTGCTCCTTTTAACCAGTGATGTGCAGAAATACGCTGTCAGCCCTAATTAGGTTGATGCATTAGATATGCTTAATGTGCACAATTAGAAGGGTAGCTCTGCTCATGTTCTCTGGATAACCTTTAATTAGTGTCACTAAATTTCGCAGAAGTGTTTTTTTTTTATACTGAATCACATTTGTTAATTTGGGTTGATACATTTCATTGGAGGTTTAGCCTAAGTTTACAGTTAAACAACGTGACACAGAGATCTTTAAATCCATGGCACAATACTCTTTGGTGTGTGTGAAAATAGATTTGGTTTCTTCCTTGAAATGATGTCTAAATTTGGAACGTGGTTTGATTTTATTTTTCGTAACGAGAAATGRCATTTTGTGCAAAAATGCAATGAAAGCTGAAAGCGGAACAGCAGCTAAACACCATAGCCCAAAGCTAATATTAGCMGAACATTGCCTAAATATAAAATMAGCAAAGCTGTAGCTAAAAGCTAAAATGAAACAATTTTACCATAAAATATTTTAAAGCACATTAACTTATTTTATTAAAGGATTTGAAAATGAGGAGGGAAATGAAGCTAAACACTTCAGTAGTGTTTCAAATTTCAAAACATTTAGCTTGTCTAAGACATTAGCTACAGCTAAGATTTTTTTGTATTTTTTTTTCAAAAATTTACCTACATTTGTAATTTATTCTCATTATATCAGATGGAAAAGTGATTCAAATCCTTAAAGGCACAGTGTGTAGGATTTTGTCAATTCTTTTAGCTGAAATTGAGATATAAAAAAATGTCTAATCATTGCAGACAAAGACCTTGTTTTATTATTTAAACCTTATAAAAAGCTGTTTATATC